AAGCCGGTGCTTTTGTTTATTTATTGAAGTAACTAGTTTCAGAGCCGCCAACATAATTTCTAATCGCCGATTCGTAGACTGTACAGAATACCGGTTTGAGTTTATCAAATGAAAACATKCAGAAATCTTCAGTTAGCTTCAGATATACAACAGATCACACTTATTCATTTGTCTCACGACTGAGAGTCAGTCGTAAAAGAAATGCGACTTTTCAACTGCAAACTGCTAGTGTGTTTCCCTGCTAGCAGAGTCTCTCCTCTTTCTCTCCCTTCTTTTAGGCGGGGAGGAGGGAGACTCTGCCGGTGTAGAGCGTTTCCTTTGATACACCGCCATCCACAATCGTAGACGAACAAARCCAGTTTTTAACCGGATACATGTAGTGCGCATGAGCTAATGTAACACATTGTGGCGCCAAACGTTGYTTGACGAGAACGGCTGTCAAAATCCTGACAGCGTTGCTAAGTTACGCCACGCAGGCGCGACAAGTATAATTTCCTACATCGTCAGAGTCTATTTTTCTCACTTCACCAAAACAAAAGGAAAATACGCTCTSCTAGCAGGGAACTAGTGTTTCTAAGGCAATGGTGTAGAATAGATAGTGTGTTTCTTCAGCATATACCGCTAGTCAGATTATCTGTGCTGTTATTGGTTGGTCGGTTTGTGCTGAGATTGGCTGTTTGGTTGCTGCATCCCAGTTCACAGTGTTTTTTTATAGTCGGTATTACAGGTGCATTACTTAGCTTCAGAAATCATATGTAATACATAGTCTTTGCCAAAAGTCAATGTACATTCTTAGGGAGAGTATTTCAAATAAAGGGTATTCTGACTCTGAGCGATTCCTTTTATTGCGTTATTTTAGTTGTATGTTGATTCAACTGATAATATRATGACCAACACTTTTTCGTAGACATTCAATAGTCTCCATTTCCCTGCGCCATATTGAAAGGTAACCATGCAATTGTATGGAAGCGAGACGAATGGCGAGCTTGCAATGATAAAGTCGACCTTTTTCAACACCTTGAACAATTATTCACATGCCTCTATCTTTGGAAGCTCACCGCTCGTCTCGCTTCAATGCAAAGGCACGGCTACTTTTCAAGATGGCGCAAGGAACTGTGAAGGGGACTATTGGGTCTGGTCAATAAAAGCTACTCTAGCATGCTTTATAATTGTAAGCATTTGTCATATACAAAAGGAATTCCCTAAAACAGTTCATCAATGCAGACTCCACTGAGTTTCTTCATCAAATTCTGCATAGCCAACAGTCATGCTATTGCTACCCTGTCTGT